AGAAAGAAAATCTCATCTAGCACTTAGTTTAGTAGTTCAAATGTGAGGAAGGTGCAGAAGGCTGATCTCAACATCATAAATTTGGTAATGAATGTTTGTTATTGTTAACATGACTCCAGGGTGCAGAACACCTGCCCTTATGCAAAATTACTTTTTTTTTTTTTTTTTTTTTTTTTTTTAGTTGTTTGTTTAAGAACAGCTTCACTATAGCTATGAGAATTGGTTTAGTGCAAAGTTAGTATTTCCACTGCTAGGCCTGCTGTTCAATAGCCAGCCATTCATTCAGCCTACCCTTGTGTAATGACAAAGCCAATGAGACTCTGTAAATATGAGGGCTGCACTAAAAGTAATGCCTCCTATTTTATTATTTTGGCCCATGACATCAGAGGCAGGTGGTGGTGGTATGGAAATTGAATATTCCCAATAATATGTCCTTACATATTGCTGCAATGCAACAGATGGCAGCAGAGGGGCAGTCTGACAAAATACCATCTGACATGGAAGTACAGATGAACTAAAGGTGTGTCACTGAATTCCTCCATGCAGAAAAATGGCACCCACTGACATTCGTTGATACTTACTGAACATTTCTGGAGACCAAACAGTGGGTGCGAGCACAGTGAAGTGAAGGGTGGCATGTTTCAGCAGTGGCAACAACATTATGAAATACATCCACGTTCCAAATGGCCATGCACTGTTGTCACACAGCATGAAATGAAGAACATCTCAATCAGCTCATCTGTGCGAATCAACAAACTGTGGTGCCAGTGTTGAAAAACACTTTTTTGTAGCTGAGAACTCACACAATTAAAGAGTAATATTGTAGTCTTTGTATCTGTTCTAGTTTCCATGGAAGTAAGTAGAAGGCATTACTTTCAGGGTAAAGTACATATGTACATATCCAAATGACATTTTGCTTCCCAGCAAACTTTTGCTCCATTCACAGTCTGGAATGAATGGCTCTATTGCAAGTGTAAGGACAAAATACTGTTGTCCATCACTGTGGAATCTGGTCCCTGACCTGTAACGTCAGCAAGGTCCAACTCCCTGATGTGCACAAAGGTCTTCACGTCTGCATTGGTGAACTGCAGATCATCACATCCTAATATGCGATAGAGCTCAGTTTTTCTCTTGTCTGTTGTCATTGGCATTGGTGAGCTCATTAAGATAAAGTGCTCTGCAATAAAACAACTGTTATTGATAGTTGTATACAAAAAGGCAAAACTTAACAGGAGTGGTGGGAAAAGTAAGACAGCATGAACTCAGTGTTCCATGCTCTATAGTTTCCCAGCATTAGAAGAGACTATGATTTGTGCCCAGTTCAGGGCAGCAGGTCCCTCCATCCTTTTCTTATGTTAGTCCTTTCTCAGCCAGTTTTCTCATGTTTTTATTCTCAATGCAAATATTACATAGCTTAAATATACTGCATACTTAGGCAGCGTTCTCAGAACAGGTTGATTCAAACACCATTTCCCACCATTCATATTCACATCTGACAATAAAATGCTCACGTCCATTACTGCAATAAGGGAAAAACAATCATGCAGAAGACTGACTCTTAAGACACCTGCTGTGTTCACTGCACAGAACAAGCCCGATGTGCTATTTTGCATTATAAAGCCTATGCAGAAGTTAATGTACCCACACAATAATGAGTCATTATATCTCATTAGAGGCTCAGTTTGCAAAGTCCAAAGTGTACAAACAGAGGCATACAAGACAAATCTGAACTAAGCACTGTACCCTGCCCTCTGCCTGCACCAGTGGTTCACAGGTATCTGGTAAATGATTTATAAACTCAAAGATAACAAAGTATAAAACTGTAAAACCACCTCTGCTTTATGAAGCAAGCACTTTCTGGATGATCTGCGATGTCTCTGAAAATGTTTCAAATTTTGGTGTCTGCTCTGCTGCTTACAGGTAAGTGCACGGCACCCTGTCTCATATCAGTCCCTTCTGGCTTGTTAAATATGCAGCTGGCAAAAAAAAACCCCAAAACTGACATGATATCACCAGAACAGTCCTGATGGGAGATAATTAATGGGAAATCACTGCAGCAGGGACATATGGGAGAGTGGGTGATCACAAGACTGCATAGCAAAGTCTGTGAAATACAGTATTGATTCTGCTCCTTATGATTACTTCAGAATCTCTTGCCACTGAGCCTTTCAGGTGTTACAAGTTGAGGACGCTTTCCCAACTGAAAGAGAATCTTACAGGATGTTTTCTGATCTGCTAAAATTTTTAAGAGAGCTAAGTGCTTTTTTTCCCCCCCCCCCCCTTTATCTCCTGGAATCTTTCCTAAACATTGTTCTGCTCTCATTGTTATCATTTATTGCTCATAAGAAAACACAAACAATTAACACACATCTGCTTCATAAGTGATTTCATGATGTCTTGGGATGTCTGATTCCAAATTGCCTAAGGGGACCTGCCTTTTATTTATTCATTTATTTATTTTAAGTTCTCATGTTTTCTGATTACTGGACCTTTACAACACCTAAAATCAAAAATCACTCTGTAAACTTTGGAACAGTATGAAAATGGATGGAGCAAGGTTGCAGCACCAGCAAGGCTGAAAGAATGCTTTTCTCAAACAAGCACACACTGCTACAGTCCATGCCCACTTACTTATTTCTCACTAAATTAGAACAAAGTAGGCAGGCATTAAGTGACTATAGACTTCCTGGGTGATTGCCTGTACCATGGAAAGATGCTCCATCTATGCATGCATTAAAAGCATGATCTGCGTGCTTGAAGAACCTTAAGAACTAAGGCAAAAATGGCGTAGTATTGACAAATATTTAATCAGAAATACCAGTTCTGTGAATTGGAGCCTCTTTCTCTAAGATTAGGCTGCAAAGAGGCTCTGCAGAAAAGGAAGGGAGGTAGAGGGAGCCTCTGTCTTTCTGTTAGAGTGCAAATTAGACACCTTTCTCTCCCCTTATCTGCACTTCCTGATCTGCTGTGCATCTGAGCTTGGACTGTTCCTGAGTACTTGTCTGTCTGCTCAAACCTGACCTCCTTCCCATGAAAATTCCACTTGGAATTAAATAGGGAGGACAGCACCCTGCTGCCCTTCATGTGGAAGGCTCTTATCTTTGCTCCTTTTTGAGTCCGTCTTCCACAACAGCCTTGCTTGCTCTCCTTCCTGGGTTCCTTTTTTAAAAAGTGAGAACTACTTACTGCTGATTTCTAACAAGCTCTTAAAAGTTCTTATTTATCACTGGCAACAAACAGTTCAGCTTTTCATTAAATGTGAATCCTTTCAGCAATGGAGAAGGCGGTGGTGAATTAAAACAGAGTCTGCAAGGCTCACTGATGATAAACTGACACTTCATCACACCCTCAGCTCAGCCACTATAAATCACTCCTCAATACTAGACCACCTCCACACCTCTGGGAACAGGCTTGCAGGGCTGTTTGCTGGCCCTCTTTCTCTAATCTCCGCACAGTGCAGCAGGAATGGATGCAGCATGGGAAGTGATGTGTTGGCACTGGAATCATTGCCGAATGGCCTCAGATATCTCACTGGCGTGTCCTGTTCATTCACTCAAAGTTGAACTGATAGCCACGTGTGGATTTAGGAAGGACTTTTCACGGAGATCCGCTGAGCAGGACCTCTATGTTTTAACCCTTTGTTGCAGGGGAAATAATTTCTTCCCTAGAATTATCCAGTAATTTTGCCAAATTCACCTGCTATTTTACCATACCTGACAACATTCCTGATCCCAGTGTGAACCTCTTAGCATCACACCGACAGTACGTTCAACACATAATTTTGCTTAGTGTCTGTATCTTGACTGCCTTTGCTGATGAGGGAATAAGGTATCTCTAATGATTCTTCATGACTGAGCTCTCCCTTCCAGTTCAAGTTCTGCGCTGTAGAATTAAGAATTGTCAAAGAATAAACACTACAGTACTTTAAAAATGGAGATCAAAATTTTACAGCCTACAAGGATATGCACGGTGTTGAAGCATTTAACAATTGGTGACTTTATACTATGTAGTTGACAAGTATTAGAAAATCTAATTTAAAAGCCTGCTACTTTCCAAACACTTCAGGATACATAGCCCATGTGCATGCACACTTTTTTTTTTTTTCACCATTTGCCAAAGCAACATTCAAACATTTGATTTGAGCTTAGTTGTGTTTTTTGACTGGAAAAGGCAAAGAAGATAGCCTGCAGAATCCAAAAAGCTGCTCCTGCAGCCATCCATTCAAGTATGTGACAGACAACAACTCTAAAACCTAAAGAAGTACTTCCATGGAAACAAACCAGCCACTTCCATGCTTTACTTTTAGTGCTTATACTGTTGCGCTGTGGTATGCTGAGTCCTTGGGTGTTGCAAATAAATTGATCAAAAATGTAAAATATCTCAGAAATAAATAAGAATAAATAAGAATCTTTTAATTCATAAAGATGCTTTACATATGATTGGAAGGTTATCTGAGAAAGACCAAAAAACTCCAACAGAACTCAACAGCCCAAGGCCAAGTCCTTGGGGTATGACTTTGTGAGTCATTTCTGAATTTAGACAGCTGAAGCGTGAGGGTCCATTCTGGCCCATTCCTAACTTTAAGGCATGCACCTGAGTTGCAATGTTAGATTTACCTTTTCAAAGTTCCCAACACGTCAGCGTCAACAACGTCAGCAAGGTTGAAGTATCCAAGGCTGATGCTTAGTTCTGCTCAGGTGCTGGCTTTAAGTGCTGATAACACCATCAGCCTTATCCCGTGAGCTGACATTTTGACCAGGCAATCACCAAAGCTGATAATAAGAATTACTAAGCTAAAAGTAAGGGAGTCGGAGCAATTACTGACGTTTGACATTTAAGTTCCATTGATATAAATAACTTCAGCAACAGGTTTTCAAGTTGTCAGAAACTTGAAATACTCTTCAGAAATGAGAGAGAAACAAATAGCTCCAGTTTATATGAAAATGTCTGCAGAGAAAGATTGAAGCGTTGCTAAGGAATTGTCTTTTTTTGTACATATCACAGCAGATCGGACACAGATCACTTCTCCCTGTGGTAGATGTACACAAGTAATAGATTGTGGTACCATGCCATGGCTTCACTCCTCACCATTCACACAGCACTGCTGATTTGATTTAAAGAGTGCCTGGGTAAGGGGAAGAATATCCTATCCTAAAACAAGTGTACAGACTTGTCATTTTATCATTCAGCTCTACCATCAGACATGTAAATGATGGCTTGCCTTCTCTCTCCAAATACTGCTAAGAACACAATGGCTCCTACTTCTCAGCTTTCAAGAGGAAAAAAAAATCAATTAAATGGGTTCCTAAATAGGCAAAGGTGCCAAAATTTAATCCCATCCTCACATTTTCTCTGTGTGGTAACATCATGATGCATTCAGCTGGTTAAAGATGGCATTGTTCTAGGAAGAATTGGAGTTGCATCTAGCTCAGTATCTTCCTTTCAAAAAGTTTATTCTTGCACAGTAGAGTTCAATTTCTGCTTAAGCCTCATGTTAAGAGATTTTAATTCAGAATAATTTATGATGCATGCACGTTGATTTTATATTTTACATACAATTTTCTTGCTATGCTGTAATATTTTTCAAAGTTATTATTATTATCTTGGCATTCATAGCTATTTCATATACCTTTTCCATACAGTGCTCTTGACATTCAACATTATTAAATATGTGTTTGCTGTTTTGACAGGCATGACAAAAGTTTACCACTATTTCTGCTCTCTCAGGTTTGGCGTTCACAGAATCACAGAATCACAGAATTGCCAGGGTTGGAAGGGACCTCAAGGATCATGAATCTCCAACCCCCCTGCCACATGCAGGGCCACCACCATTCCACCTAATGCTAGACCAGACTGCCCAGGGCCCCATCCAATCTGGCTTTGAACACCTCCAGGGACGGGGCATCCACAACCTCCCTGGGCAGCCTGTTCCAGTACCTCACCACTCTCTCCGTAAAGAATTTCCCCCTGACATCCAACCTAAATCTCCCTTCCCTCAGCTTAAAACCATTTCCCCTTGTCCTGCTGTCACTCACCCTTTCAAAGAGTTGATTCCCCTCCTCTTTGTAGGCTCCCTTTAGGTACTGAAAGGCTGCAATGAGGTCACCCCGCAGCCTTCTTTTCTCCAGGCTGAACAAGCCCAGCTCCCTCAGCCTGTCCTCATAGGGGAGGTGCTCCAGTCCCCTGATCATCTTTGTGGCCCTCCTCTGGACCCTCTCCAACAGCTCCCTGTCTTTCTTGTACTGGGGGCTCCAGACCTGGACGCAGTATTCCAGATGGGGCCTCACAAGAGCAGAGTAGAGGGGAACAATCACCTCTCTGTCCCTGCTGGCCACCCCTCTTCTGATGGAGCCCAGGATCCCATTTGCCTTCCGAGGCATAGTTCACCCTATTCCAAACAGAGATATTGAGAAAACACCATAGCAGTAATGGCTGCTAGCAGTTGTTCCCACTGGACAGTCTTTTGAGGTGTAGGGACAGACAAAACTATCTGCTGAAGGCAGTAATTACACGAGTTAAGCATCTGCTTGCAAAAAACAGCCCATTTTTTTCCTATTATTATTTGCTTTTCATACAAGAATGTTGAGTGAATCTCCAGAGATGATGAAAGGAGCTACTCTAGCTGGTAACAGCTGATACAGTCCTTGCAACAGTTCACTTCTGCACGCATTCCTTCTGTTTTCCCTTTGGACCATTAATCCTTAAAAATGCTTTTCAAATAACATTTTTATAAGAGAAAAGAGGGATAAGAGTATTGAATGAAAACATTAATGTACGATGTGTCTCACAGTTCTTAACAGTAGGTTAACTTTCTCTCTCTACAATTTGAATTTTTTCCTGTTTTTCAGCTCAATTTTATGCCATGTGAGTAATTTCATTAACTCTTATCTACCCACCTGCTCCTAACTCCCTCTAGCTTCATGCCAAATGCTCTGCAGCAATGTTTCTGAGCTACTCTTCTGCAAGATGGGTTGCATGTGTGGCAATCTAAAGTCCTTCAGGAACACTCTTCTACTTAAACTCAAACACCAAATTCATTCACAAACATTTAGTAAGGCATTCAAAAGGTGGCGATAAATTATACCCAGTTTGAGAAACTTAAACTGAGGCAAGGCACATGTCTGTATACTTCATTCAGAGGAGCAACTCGTAGATCTGGCGGCATCAGAGCAGATGTCCCTATCCATGCAATCTTTCAGACCTTGCTCTCACAGCTCTGCCAGAACACAAACATTTCTTACTGGATACAGGTGCAGTCAGAGGAGACAGCGTGTCAAGAACAGAAAGTTAATACTGTTAAAACACAGCACTCTGCACCAGAGGAGCCAAGGCAATACCTCACTGTCCCACCAGTGCAGCTACAAGCTCACTCTGTGAAGATGCTGGCAGTGGGGAAAGGAAACACAAAAACCCCGAGCTGCTGAATGATCGTTTTTTGTAGCTCACCACGAAGCCAGAAGGCCAAAGCTCAGACTGGTGATAAAATTTAATGTTTAATGGCCCTTACTAACTATATATATATATATTTAAACAAAAGTGCAGCCTGCTACAGAGCCAATTGCCAATCCCAGTTCAGTTATCTCAGTCCAGAAACATAATCATGACTTTACAAAATATTTAATACCAAAAGAACTCCCAAATTCACTAAAGGAAAGTTAACAACTCATAGATTTTCTACTGAATAATAGTAAGTTGCCAGAGAACTAAAGAAATTTGGCATGAGATTAGTTTTATCTTGCACAGCTCTGGAACAGTCCTGTAGAAGCTTAATGGACAAATGAAAGAAAAATCATTTTTCTTTCTGAGGCCAAGCTTTTTTTTTTTTTTTTTTTTTTGGCTATGAAGAGAAACAGCAAACATCATGCCCTACAATGCTGTTTCCTATAAGCATTTGGCATACATTTTTCTATTTGAAAAGCTGAAGAGTGACCATATTTGTTGGTGGTCAGCAAAGCTAGCAATAATAGCAAAGGATCTGATTCTATTGAGCGTAGTGCATGAAAGCAAATGTTTGATGTTTTCAGTTTTCCTTCCTAGGAAATCATGAATAAGAACACTGGAGAGTGGTCAGCGAGGCAGCAGTTTGCCCTGCCCTGCTGTAAGATGCTACACACATGAGTTCAAGTTCTTGGCCCATCTGTACTGACTGTGTGCAGGGCATCCTCAGGGGTCCACTTAAACCCATTCAGCCAAGTTGCAGCTCAGTTGTTTGCAGATCCCGGCCTCAGTTCAGCTGACTTATCAGTGTTTAAACTTAATTAGCAGCTCATTAAAAATTATAAGTTTCAGACTGAAGTGCTATTTCAGAGCAGTTTAACCCCAAATGAATTTCAGTCTCAAAAACTGGAGACTAACAGAAAAGTCATTTCCTGTACCAAAGCCTTTCATATGAAATTAATGAGAATTTCAGCCCTTTTTCCTTTGGCAAAATTGTCATTTTAAAAAGACCTACAACAATTCTGCATCTGGGATGACCTTAAAAGCAGTATGGTAACAAGATGTACAGTATCCTTTCCTTACAAAATCATTTCTATGCATGTAATTTCTATACCACTGCAAATGAGAATAAATACATCTAAACTAGGAACATAGTTAAATTCATAGGTAAGTTTAGGTGCATTTTCTTGAAACCTAGGTTTCTCAGTACACCTGAGACCTATGCAACACCAATCTTTTTTTTTTTTTTCCTGTCAAAAAGTCTTTTATTAAAGATAAAGTAGTACTGCAGTTTGATTGCAAACGTATCTAACTGGATATGACAGGAGACAATAATTTATAGAAGGTGTTGTATTAATTTCAGGCTTAAAAAATATACCAAACCAAAGAAAACTTTCTGAAGCTCTATAGTAAGACTATCTTGGGCTTCTTTTAAATAAACCATCGGTCCAAAGAAATTTTTATGGAGTACAAAATATGTGAGTTTTTTGTTTGTTTGTTTGTTTGTTTTTAAAGTGCATATTCTAAAAATATTTTCCTAATGTTACACATATTGCTCAGTTACCATTTCAGGTGCTCTTGGAATACCTTTTCTGACAGAAGAATCAGCAAATCAGTTCATACGACTTAAAAGACAAATACCATATTCTCACAGCTACTGGGACCCAAGCAGCAGCCAGAATGCGTGGGGATACTCAGTGGCTGAGCAGGTATTTCTTCCACCTTCTTCACCTACTGAAAAAGAAAAAGAAAAAAAAAAAAAAGCAAGCAAATCCTAATGTGCAGGTCTGGGACTGGCAAAAAACAGGAACCCTTTGGGGGCAAGAGAGGAAACTTATCATGTTATCAGAGCAAGCACTTCACAGTCACATGTGGTATTCATTCAGTATCAAAGCTCTGAATGCTCTTTTTCTGTTTTGATCTACTTCAGATTAGTGAATCGTGGGCAGCTCTGAGAGACACAGCACAGTACTACATGGATTTGGGATCTTATTCCTTTGATCCTTCAATTGCCAGGTACGATGGGGCTTCTCAACAGAGTATTTCACAGACTCACAATGCATGTGCGTACCTGAGTAAGTAAAACTGTCAGATACAAGAATGCTAGCAATTGTATCTCAGTGGCATAATTTTAATGCCATTTGTTTTTGTTTATAAGAGGCATCCTGGAAAATTAAAGATTTGTCTTCACTGTCTCAGTTTTATGGTTATTTAAATGAAGTCATTTTATTGTGCTTAGCTCCTTCTTAGGAACGCTTTGAAGGAATTTTGTAAAGTCATGAAGAAAAATGTGTCTTTTTAAAAGTCCACAAAATCTAAATTGCAGCAATATAGCCTTCATAGTTGATTTACAAAGCAGATGGAAAGGAATTCCTGAAAAGAAAAAGGGTTAAAACACCAAGAACAATGCATTTATTTCAGTAACAAAACTGTATTCAGTGCAAAATAAAAGCTTGGCTGAACTAAACAAAGAATGAGACATAGCAGTTGGCAAAAGCAGCATTTATACATCAGCTTACAACTACATGAAATAAAGTGTCTTAGATCATCATTGAGGAATTATTTATGACTGTGCTAGAACATATGCATTTTTTGGGACATCATTTTGTCCAATTTAGGGAAAAAATACTAGATGACTACATTTAATAAGCACATTGCAGGGCACACACATTATTCCCATTACAGATTTTTCATACCAAGATAGTTCATTCTAGGAAAGGACAGGAGTGGGTAGAAGTCATCTCATGCAACTTCAAATTTCAATGCTTAAAACAGTAGATAAAAAATAGCAATTTAATTAGTCTACCTGTACCCACCAATAGGAAAACAGGTAAACTTAATGTACTTTAAATTGAATATGCTCTGTTTTAAAATTAGCTTTCGTTTTGAAAATGGGTGAAAATGTTCATTTTAAAATAAGGGTTTTTCTGAAAAGCACTTTTTATAAGACAAAACTTAATTTGGAATATGGAGAGTCTCAGATTGACCTTTGTAAGACTGTTGCACCTGAAGGCTGGAGAAGAAGCAAAGTGGAAAAAATAGCTACAAGTCACACTTTCCTTGTCAAGCATTCAGCTGACATACTTGGGCAAATGAGAGGAATCAGGATATCCTCTCACAACTTCCAAAAATGATATGGGTAGCAATGTGCTGGGATGGCAGTGCATTTGTCTCATGACGTGTGAAATTACCTGAAGTCACTTTACTTAGTTTTCTTGGGAAAACAAAACAAAAAAATGCCCAAACCTGTCTTTTCCATGAGGAAAAATTATTCAGACAGAAAATATCTAACTACCTCTAATTATAAGTTGCCCAATCCATGTGTCTGAAGGCTGTGATCCTGACAGCTGTCAGGCATGCTGCAAGATGAATTATTCCTCCAGAATGATAATCCTCATGATTGCCATATGACAGGATTATAACTAGTTTACAGAAACACATTTGTAGGCACTCCTACTGAAGCACATTTATGATTTCAGAGGGAGTTTGGATAAGTCCTGGACTGAAATCAAGTTCACAATGCTAGCGTGGCAGAAATTAACATCCGGAACTTTTATGAAGGCATATTGTAGAAAAAAAACATAGCCAGAAGTTTTGAAAAATATTTTTGGATAGCAAAACAATGATTTCTGACCTCATTGCTCATGATTATTTGCATTTCTGAGGTAACCAAGAAAAGCAGGCCTATAAACCATATGCAAAAATCTGTTTCAGGAGCCACACTCCCAAAACAAATGTTGCAAATCTGAAGACCAGAGCTGCTGACAGGATCTTGAAATAATTCTGCAGACTTATTTACTAAAGCCATTTTATTCCATCTTTTCTAGTGACAACGTCAGGTCTTACATGGACATGCTACAGCAGTCTGGGACGCACCTCCGACAACAGAGTAGGACAAACAATTAAATCCTACACATCTCGTGACTGGCAATATTAGGACTTGGAGTGTTATCTATTTGCCACAAATTACTTTCTCTCATACCACAGTCTAAACACCACAATTCACACACACAGTCTTTCTCAATGCCACCTATTTTGTGTGAAGAAGTAGTAGAAGTGGGATGTAAGCCACTTAAATAAAGACATGAAGACTTACCAATTAGGTTAAAACAAACGAAAACAACAAGAAAAAAAAAACTAATAAGTTTGTTTTCATGTAAAGTGTTTTTTATTTTAACTATATATATATATTTTGCAATAGAAAACCACATCTTTATTTCTCAATATTTCACTTTAACTGGATTTCTGAAAGGAAATTAAAAAAATGGAAATCATTCACTGAGGCTGGATAGGGAGTTCAGTATATTTGCTCCAGGTTTGGCTAATAGGAAGAATATACTTCCTACAATTCAAGTATATTTCCAGTTCTTCAAGTACTGTGGTCAAATAGGAGTTTTAGTATGCATCTCTCTTGTGTATACTTTTCTTCCTGCACTTAAAGTTCTGTACTTGAATGCCAAAAATGACTGAAACTAAACCTGCCAGCATAAGCTGCTTTTCCTTACCTTGTGGGAGTAGAATATGGTGAAAATGTTTATTCACAGCTCTTTTCCTAATAAAAAGAGTGATGACAAAAAGTGCTTTTATGGTAAGCTCCTGGGTGCATAAGTTTCCCCATTCTTGTCCATTAAGCCAACTTATTTCAGGACATATTTGGAGAAAGGATTGGGCAGCCACATTTCTTTTGATGTTATTAATATATCAAAACCTTTCAGCTATAGTCAAAATTTCTGCACAGAAAGAGAAGAACTTCTAGGGATGTATACCAACCTGAAGGGCAGAGTAGGAATGCAGGCAATTTTCCCCATAGAGAGCACGGTCTGTGTATTGTGGATCTGAGATTCTTCGCTAGAATGACTATATGCTGATTGGAATGAATGTGAAGATAATGTTGAATATTCTAAAAGGGAATACGTATTCTGACTTTCCAGCAGTCTCTATCACATTACTAGGTACAAAACTATCCTTAAGCCATTATTAATTTCCCTGCATAGGACAATGGGCCTGAAATTGCCAGTATTCATTAGCTGAAATGGAAAATTCATTAAACACTTGAAAGAGATAAATGAGGGGGCAAGTTCAGTATGTGCCATGTAGAATTTCACATCTTCAGTCATGCCACTTAATTATGAAGTGTTCACTTGAAGATAAGGGACAACAAATGATGCGTAGACTGGGAGACCGCATGGTTATACACAGAGCCATAGCCATGCCCTTCTGCTTCCTGTCCTCCCCTGACCTTGGGTCAGTCTTGCAGATCCTCAACCTCTTTTTGTTTTCCTCAGTATTTTTGTGAGAGTCTGAAGCTTTTCAGTATGTAGCAAAAATACAAGGTTAAAAAAAAAAAAAAAAAAAAAGCAGTAAAAACAAACAAAAAAAAACAACCAACCAACAGGATCTGCACCTTCTGGCTGCATACTCACAGGCAGCCATTGTGTATCACTTCAAGCCACTTGTGCAGCACACCAAAGAGCTGTTGTTTTCAGCTCTGCCTTTCTAATCAGTGCTGTTGCTGCCAAGGCAGAGGTTTGGGATGTGCTTGAGAATTGTATTCATGCCTTACACGGTAAGTTAAACCAAAATCAGGGTTAGCTCAGGAGGTGATTTGGAAATGGACAACAGACATCCCCAGAGCGTGGGCAACAAAGTCCGCCAGTGAGATGGAAGGTAAAACACAGTGCATCTTACCTCATTCACTGTCAGATGGTGAGTTAACTGCCCGATCTTTATGAGCCATTTTATGGTTGTCAGAGCAATAAAATTAGACTATCCACTGCCTTAAGTCTAGTGCCACGAGGACAGTCTTGCATAAGGCTGGCTTTGTGACCGAAATGTCAAACAAAGCCAGGGGATGCAATTTGACGGTTCTGTTGTACTTAGACATGACTAATTCCTTTAAAGAAGTTGTTCTGAAAGCCAGAGCTGCAATCTGCAAAGCTGTAGCTTCAAGCTAATGTCACTAATTCAGATAATTAGTCTTGCTGAATTAAATGGGAAGAATTGTGCACGCATGAGTAGCAGTGGAATATGAGGTGCTTATTTTGTGTTATCAAAATACATGCCACTCATGACAATGAGCAAATGGTTTTCATAGACACTGGATATGAAAATCCTTCTGCTTTTTATTAAGAATTAGGAAAAAAAAAACTATTGTCTGAGTTTGCTTCCCTTCTATTAGCTTCATGTATTCTTTCAGCATAAGCAAATGTGAACCTTTCTTAACTACCTCTCTCCGTGTCTTCATGTTGCCACCTACAGTTTTGCTCTCTTTGCTATTTCCACACAGCATAGATACACATACAATTTCTTACTGATGGCAAATCCAAAGGATGTTCCTAAAAGAAAGAGAATTTCAAGTGCAGCTCTGCTGATTATGGGTGTGGAAATACAAGCCTTAGGGCACAGGATCCATGCAATTGGTGCACAGGAGAGCAATTGCTTTCAGTGCCCAGAAGCTTTGTGTCTGAGCAGGTGAACTGCTACTCTGCAAGAGGTGCAGAACCTCTGGCTAATTTCTGAATACTCCAGTTTATGGAGGTCCTGGGGGAGAGGACGAGCGGGTGGTGAAAAAACTGCATTCAGACCTGTCTCTGTACAGACATTAGTTGGATGGATGCAGGATAATTTCTGCCAGGTGGTCTTGAGCTGCCAATTCTTTTCTGAGGGATGCCAGCATGATGTCTTTCTATGATCAGTAGAAGCACAGAAATCAGGATGACTGGGTGCCTCATGCTTGACTACTACCTCCAGCAGAAGGTTTTGCCCAGCTGAGGTGCTTATGGGTATGTGTCCTGTAGAGGTACTGAAGGGCCAAGTCAGGTCTGAGTTATGCTGCAGCCCCTTTCTCAGAGTAAGTGCCTACTCCCTCAGGTACTCGGATCCTTAATTCTACCCTAGCCATAACAAACTATCTTTGTGATCTCTGCCAGTCTGTCAAGTTGAACTAGAAGCAGCACATAGGTTGAAAAGTTATTGTGGCTAGATATGGGAGATTGAACACATGAACAACAAGACAACATGAGTGTAGGAGCCTTGCTTCGTTGGAGAATCAGATGGAAGAATTAAGAGTTGTATGACGTGACAGGGAAATTCTCTCCAATAATAATAATAAAAGATTAATACTACCTGGCCTTTCCTTAAAAGATTCAAGACATTTCAACCAGAAAACTATTTTAGACAAAGCAAACAGGGTGAGCTGCACAACCCAAGCAACCTGGGTATAATCTGCCTTACAAATGCTGAAGGAAAGATAAGTACAGAGAGACATTGTTTTCTTGAAGCTCAGCAGAACAAACAAGTAACAGTATATAGACATAATGAGAAAATAGTTGGTTTTAGGAGCTGAAATGGTTTCTACAAACAGAACAAACGGGGTCTGGTTTCCAATGGATGTTCTACATGCTACTTCACTGCTATGGTAATTCTTGTGATTGAACCTGGCCTCAAACAATTTTAATGCAAAGGACTTTTGAGCTTGTATCACGCTGCTTTTATGTGCTCACTTTGCACTTGATCTGTTGTCTTAATTTAAACCAAAACAGCTGAGGCAAAGTATTTACCTAATCTATACCTGCTGCTGTAATTTTCAGTGCCAGCAAAAGCGAGCAGCGTTCAAAGTGATTTTATGTTGGCTGACTGAATATACAAACCACCCACCTGAGGCAGGTGCATAACCACTCCATACAGAGTGGAAAAGAAGTTATTAGTGTTTTGAGTCATTTGTAGGAAGCAATGAGATGAGTAGCTAGAACATAAAGATTGAAAATTATCCACCACTGATAAGTTCAGTCAGGGAAAGAGGTAAGCATTCTCTGCCTGTGATTATCACCTTAAGAAAGCCACAAGCATCAGCAATTACCTTTCTGTCCTTACAGCTGTTCAAACACACCATATGGTTATTATACCTGTGGAGTCTACTTTCCCTGCTCTACAACAGCAACAGGCAGAGTCAGTGCTGTGGCTGGCTATCTTAGGGGTGAAACAAGTACTCACTGACCACAGTAGTGTGAAGTTACCCCTCATCTGCCATGGGCAGCAAGCTTTCCTAATGTCATTGTCAGGCCAGGCACAGGAAGGCAGGAGGCACAAGAGCCAGCACTTCAACCTTCTTGACCTACCTGGCATTGTTGGCTAGTCAGCTTGGAGTGACACTTCTTGTTCAGCTACTATCTCCCAGCTACATGACCACTGCTGAAGTGATTTCATGCCAGTCACTGTCTCCTTATAGAACTGAATAAGCATATGAGATCCTGTCAGAGTAATTCAACTATGTCCTGGTTGTGACTGAAAGCTGCTGTGCAGCAGGGAGCTAGTTCAGGGAAGGCTTAAAAAACATCTTTACAATTGTTGTCAATACTATTACCATAAATCCAAATCCTAACTGTGCAAGGTGCCATGAGAAAGCAGACTGCCTGGCATCCTCAAAATGCAGGTAGAGCTGTTCAAGGACAAGAAAATATCCATAAGCTAAAAAAAAAACAACAAAACAATTGAGGTGCTTAGTGGTGGCTGCTCACTACTGCAAAACAAGTGATGAAACAGTTATTAGAAGAATGAATTTTAACTTAATTTTTCCTGTGAAATTGCTGTCAGATAAGAACTAACATTTGTACAAGCTTTTGTATGTGTATCTTTAGATATAGCATATGTATATTTTTATCTAGATCTGGGTGGTCATCACTGAAACTGCTAATATGATTAAGTAGAAGAATTCTTAGTCACAATGCAACAACTTAACTTGTCTTGGAAGAAAGTAGTATCTTTAGAAAACATGCAGTTTTCTAAACTGCTAATCAACTGATTAGCATGTCTAGCTAGCCTGCAAGTAAGGGGATGAGCCCTATCTTTAACTGATCAGTTGTAGGCTGGAGGTAGGTTGGGGTAGTGGTCAAGTGATAAAAATATGT